CACGCCTTTGATTTTGTCGTCTTCCAAGACTAGGTCACATATTTCATCTCTTCTCACTGAGAGATATTCACATTTTGTCATATTCATGTTTAGACCTGCCACCTCATATTCTTCTTGCAGTTTTCTTCTGTGTTGCCAATGTCCGGATAATTATCCGATTTTCGGATAATTTCGTGGACCATCGGATAATTTTCGGATTGAACAATTTTTTGGATAATTTCGGATAATTCATGGGTCTATCGACTTTTTATTTTTAAATATAATTTAAATTTTTATAAGCTTAAATAGCTAAATTTGCGAATGTACATAGAACTCCAAATTCTATTCTTATATAATCCAAGATGATGGAACCTATGAATTATTTCAGCGCCCTCTGTTGATAAATAGTATAGTTTTGGTTGACTGTTTTACTGTACAAGTTTTACTGTACAAAAATCCAGGGATCTTTGAAATTGACAAAACAAAAATTATTTCAATCCAAGTCTAAAAGGTCGAAGTAGTCATGTAATTCCCCTGTGGCACTTTCTCTATACTTTTGCCGATTATGTATGTAAACAATAAGTATTTTTAATATAGGTTTAAAGAGTTAATAATTTGTTAATTTGCTGTATTTATGTATTATTTGTTGTTTTTTATTTAAATAAATATATTTCTATCAAACTAAACTTGTTTTCTTGCCATCATTTGTCATATTAATTGTCATCTGTCAATGTGTCACTGTCAACTGTCAATGTCAATTATTCCATTTAATTAGTCTTCTTTTTCGATTTTTATGAATTCGGATAATTTCGGATATTTGGTTTCTAACATTCGAATAATTTCGGATATTTTGCTCCCAACATTCGGATAATTTCTAGTTTTGCGTTGGCAACACTGGTTTTCTTACCATATAGCTAAGATCGTAGCTGTCTTCGGCAATTACTACCTGGTCATCCGCAAAGAAAAGTGTATATAGCTTATTTTCTTCCACCGTTATTCCCATGTTTCTACATTTTTTTACCCATTTCACTAAGGATCTGTCCAAATAGATTTTAAATAAAGTGGTTGACAGACAGCAGCCTTGTCTTAGTCTCTTTGTTGTTTGAAAAGGAGAGGTGATTTGTTGTCCCATTTTAATTCTTGCAAAGTTTTGTTCGTAGTGTTTTTGAGTGGCGTTAATAATAATTGGGTGTATTTTCAAGTTACCCATTTCTATCCATAGTTGGGAGATCGGTACACTGTCATATGCTTTTTCCAAATCTATTAAAGCTATACGGGCTTCTCCATTTCTCTGCACTCGTTTTTCCATTTCAATTTTTAATGTGAAAATATTATCCATAGTGGAGCGTCCGGCCCTAAATCCCGCTTGTCTTTAATATCATTTTCTATCAGGTTTCGTAGTACTTTTAAGTATAGTCGGCCTATAGTAGCAATCACTGAGATCCCTCTATAATTTTAAGGATCCGTCTTTGTCGTTTATTGGAGAGATATACGATTGTCTCCATTCTTCTGGAACTTCTTCTCCGTTTAAGCATCTTTCGAATAATTTTCGGATCATTTCAAACAGTTTTGATGATCCATACCTAATCAACTCTGGATGTATTCCGCCTGGGCCTGGAGATTTTCTTAATTTCATTACCCTAACTGCTTCTTTTACTTGTTCTATTGATATTTCTATTCTTCCTTTTACTTGCACTTATTCATTTGTCTGTTTAAACCTTTTTCTTTTCTCTGTTAATAAGTTCTTAAAATGCACTACCCATGTGTTTTCTGGTATTCTATTTATTATGACTTGGTTTTTTGTCTTTGTTCTCATCGTTTTTATAGTACTCTAGGCTTCAGAGCTCTTTGTCCCTCCTATATGGTTGTATAGGTATTGGCATTTTTGTTCCCATGCACTATTTTTCTTTTTAACCTTTTCTCGTTTGACTTTTTTATTCAAGTTTTTATATTGTTGTTTTGTTTATTCGTTTCCCGGTTGTAATAACTTTTGATAACTTTTGGTTTATCTACTCTCCGTACCTGTGGCCCTAAGGCTTCTAGCGCTGTGTCTTTCATGCAGTATTTTATATGTTCGTATTAATCCGTCGTTGATCTGTGTGATTCCTGTAGTTTTTGTGTTAGTCTCCAGGAGTAAAGTAACTATGTGCTCTCGTTATCTAGATTGTCTAAGGTGTACGTAGTTCTTTCTATTTTTTCTGTGTTCTTTGTTGATATCTGTGTCTTAATTTTTGCATGTTTCTATTTTTGTGCACTAAAAAATCTAATCCACTATTCCAAATTAATATGACAGATTAAAAATATATACATCGATTCTACGGTTCAAAGATTATATTCATAATTTTAATAAAAATGTTTATTATCGACTTATGTAATAGATAAAATTGTTATTAAAATACAGTAAACTCCATGAATTTTTTATACTTAATTCTGTATTTTCCACTCTACAATATTTAAAAAAAAATAGGTATTTAAGTGTTTTCCAAGAGATAAGATTGTTGTCTGCATATTTATTTCATATGAATTTTTCGTCAAAATTATGAATACACAATTCTTTTCAAATGAATGTTTGAAACAATTCCTTGTTTTCAAATAAATGAACACCATGCATTTGCTTTATTTCAAAAGTCTACTCTCAACAATCTTATAAAAAATGAAAAATTTAAGAGCGACATAATTTCTTGCAACAACTGTTTTATTTAAAAAACTAACAATGATTATTTGATTCGTAGTGTGTCCTTCATGACTAAGAGTGTGATATTAGACGTGGCGATAACTTTTAACGATCAATTGATATATATCTAAGAAATTTATTTGATTGATTTTTATTTTGTGGTTAATACATTTCAATATAGTTGAGTAAACACAAGTAAATTAACTAAATAATTTTTATAGATATGAATCAAGGTAATCCGCTGACAAAGTTAACACAATTTACCTGTTAGACCACAGCAATTTGGTCGTATTTGTAGTTGGCAGAACGAAGTTATTAGGAAGAAATTACAAGATGAAGTAGAGAGGAAACTATCAGGACAGGAAGTAGCACAAGACATAGTAGGTGAGAATGACTCAGAGAAACGAATAATTCATCAGCCGATTTAAAACTACCAAAACCCTCTCAAATAAGACAAAAAGATTGGTATGATATTGATTGTAAGAGACCGATTGTGGAGAGGAATAGAGCCAGAATCAATAGCATAAGGAAGAATAATTTGAACAATTGATGGATTCGACCGTTACTTGATGGAAATTCATTTTATGTAACAATAAAACACTGAAAACTTTGTTTTCAAACTTCCACAAAATTTATTTTAAATATTATCACTACAGCTGTTTCGGCTGATTGCCTTTCTCAAGTGATCTATTTTGGCTTGGGTTTACAAATTTATAGTCTCTAATGAAATAGGTTGAGGAGGGGAGAACTGTTTGTCTCAAGTTATTTGTCTCATATAATTCTGAATGACCAACTTGAGACAAACAGTTCTCCCCTCCTCAACCTATTTCATTAGAGACTATAAATTTGTAAACCCAAGCCAAAATAGATCACTTGAGAAAGGCAATCAGCCGAAACAGCTGTAGTGATAATATTTAAAATAAATTTTGTGGAAGTTTGAAAACAAAGTTTTCAGTGTTTTATTGTTACAAATAATTTGAACAATAGAGAACTGTATGATGAAAAGAGAAGGGAAGCAAGGAAAATATGCACAACAAAGAAAAGGTTGTATGTACCTGGAAGAAAAATTAAATAATATTGAAGAATAAAATGAACTGGGCTTTCACGGCCATCGTCTTGTTCGGGCTGTTAGGCTCGACAACAATAGTTTTTTAATAATTGTCAAAAAATTTTAAAATTCTTAATTTTGATAATATTCGTTAAATCGAATAGATGATTACATTATTTTCTTGGTTTATTTTAAATGGATTAACCTATATTTTATATCATTATCGAAAAATACTATTAACATACGGTCCGTCCCAAACCCTTTTTTCAGTGCGTCATAGTTGATCGAATTCTCTCTAACGCATAAAGCTAGAAGTGACAGAAAAAGACGTGAGTCTGTGATTATTATACATAGAACATAGAAAATTATGTATCGTTGACGAGTATTTGCATATTAAAGCAAATTCTACTTACGGATGTATAATTGGTTGGAGTTTAGAATACGCTAAATAGATATCCAATCAATGATGCGCATAAATATAATTTGACGCTGATTATCACATGACAATACTTTCACAATGTCAAATGATAAAATGATAATTGTCATTCATCGAGCAAAAAGATAAAAGAGGGAATCTAATCATTATGAAAAGGAGACCAAAAAAGTGGCCTCTGATGGCGGACATATCCGGAAATGCAAAGGCGCTAAATTTAAATTTTCCAACACTTATTAACAATAGCTATAAAATATTTTTTAGACGAGAAAGTTTTAATTAAATATTAACTATAATAGTCTAAAAAGTGACACAATTGGTAAAAGATTTCAATATAAATAAAATTTCATGTGACAGTTGGGACAAACAATAACATAACCTAACTAAATTTGACTTCTTAAACAAGGAAAGAGACTGTCTATCCTTGTCTAAAGTGGCCTCTCAAGATGGCACTTCCTGTCTATCAATATGTTTATTGCTCGATGTTGTCATTCCAGGTTAGTATTTTCAGACATTTTACAGTGAAAATTTAATTTTGTATTTATTGTCATAAAAATAATTTAAATATGCCGAGATATACCGAGAAAGAACGAAGACTACATACCTATTTAAAAAAATAATCTTTTCACATTTAGTCGATTATGATCCTGCAACTGTCAGATTTAACTAAAATGTCAAGCAATAATTTTCGACATTCTTAAAATCCTATATGACGTCACATTTAGTGACGCACTGAAAAAAGGGTTTGGGACGGACCGTACTTAAATTTTTATGAAGCAAATTTATTATTGCAAATTTAGGCGGAAAATGAGCTTTTTTGTAAAAACTGAAGAAAAGCTATGTAATCTATAATTTTCTATTTTTAGGTGGCAAGTCGGACCTTTGGCAACATTAGATCCTGATGCCAAACCTGAAAGTTTAAATTCTCTTAACAAAGACATTAAAGGTAAGCGTTAACACGAATTTTTATTTAAATAAAAACACAAGATGTAGGCAATGCAATAAATATAACGTTTTAAAAAACAACCTATACATTACATGTTTTAAGGATCGTTCTAAGTGGACATTGGTTCACGAGAGGGATGGGTAGAGAAAGTAGCAGGCTGCGGAGTTATACCTGGTACACGCGCGATTCTAAAGCTGCATTAGGGTCGAGTGCAGGGATATTCGGTAGTGGTGGAAAGAGCATAGCATAGCCAGATTATATCGTATCTTAGGCTATTATAAATGCTTTAATATATTTACAAGAATTATTTTAAAGTAAGGAAAACTTTTGAGTTAGCTATAAATAAATAAGTTCTTAAAAAATGATTTACATTATCAACACACGACCGAACGATTAACAAATCAACAAACCAATAAACAGTTTTGCACAATAACTACTGTGACTCTTCATACGACGGAGAGGAAACACAAAGTGCGTGCCTGTTAGCCCAAGAGAGACGACTAAGATAGTTCGATTGTCGAAGGCTTTTGTCACGTCCAGACTCAAATATCACGCTGTGACTTGTGTTGTGCTTATTCTATCCGTAGCTCGAAGTTGAATTTACTTTAGAGTGACAAATTCGCTTTCAGTTCTTCTTCAAATATTCTTCATTAAAAAGGTTACCAATCATAATTGAAGCCTGTATTACAGAAGGTTTACTGCTGATTTGATAAATAATAGACTTTGTTAGGCCAATAAAATTTGTTCATGATTCGAGTTTCCAAAGTACTTTCTGTGGGCGAATTTCAGTGATTTTACATACGGTGACCTTGAAACTATAACAAAATATATTTAAACAATTCATAAATTATTATTAAAAATTATATTTACAGGTGTAATAATTGTATGGCCAGAGGACTCATATAAACCATTTGATGAAACTCACGACACCATACAACTTATTAAAAAAGCTAAAGAATTAGGCACGAAGGTTATTGTAGATTTGGATCCAGCAGTTACCGATCTGTGGTATACAGAGAGTGAAAATTCAAATGAGACCTTCAGTGATTACTATATTTGGTTACCTCCTTCATACAAAAACGGGGTGTTGACACCTCCTAATAATTGGGTAAGTCAAAGACAAAGATATTTTATTTCTTTTTCAGTCCATCATTATCTCTAATACTGGTAGAACTTGGTATATAATGAGGCACGTTAGCCTTTACATTTTTTTTAACAAACTCTGCTACTTTCAGATTTATAACATGTGAATAATTTATTTTTAATATATTTTTAGATTATGTTATAGCTTGTAGCATATCATAATACTGATATTTCTTATTTAATAGTACATAGTAGGGTAAAGTGTGCAAACCGCGGTCACCTAAGAAGAAAATTTAATATAAAAAAAGTAAAACTCTGTGAATCAAATTTAAGCCGTCAATCCGTAATTTGAGGTTTTAACTTATTGCAAGATACATTTAATTTCAAAAATATAAAAATTTTTTCTTTGACAGAGATAAAACATAAAAAAGTATCTTTGACCGGTATTGTCACCATACATGGACAATACCGGTCATGAGTGTGGGTAATGCCAGTCAATTTGTTTGTGTTATTATTAAAATAAAAATCAATATCTATTTAACATTTTTTTGTTATAAAACGATTAACGAATGTGGCTTAATGGGTCATAATTCAAGTAAATCAGTAAGAAAGGTGAAAAAATATTTTTTATTACAAAACAAACAAAAAATAACAAAAATATGTGTTTTAATGTAAAAATAGTTGACAGTCATCGCAGGTATAACTCTCTGCAGAATCCCATCCACTGCACTCTGAATAAGCCCATCGTGAGCAAACGGTAAATATATACCACAATTCATTGTTTTTGCCAAACTCGCTGTAAACCAGGCATCTATCTTCGTATGCATCGTCACTGTTATCACATGATATATCAATATCCGATTCCAAAGAACTAGAATCACACACCTTTTTCGTGTAATGCCAATTACAAGAAAAAGGTGTTTTATTACAAGAAAAATTATCTTGTAAACCCAAATGCTAATTTTCTCAGTTTTATTGCTGTTACGCCATAAAAAATTAAGCTAAATATTTTTTTGTGTGGCTATTTTAGCTTCTTGTTCGGCAGAAAATACTGATTTTCTACCTAATGAGACACCTTGAAGATTTTTATTTTTTATTCTTTCTTGCAATGTCGAAAAATAGATGGATTAATCCCTAAGTATTAATAGTATAGGGTATAAATTATAGCATGGGGGTAAGACCGGTCAACTGACCGGCATTGCCTCCTGTTGGCATTTTTTTTCTTAGAATTTTTTACTCGTAAACATGTATTAAAATATTGATCTTTAAAAAAGGAATAGGCAGCTAACGTCATTATAATCAATTGTAACCAATTTTAAGATCTACAAGTGAATAAAAATGAATTAAGACCTTATATTACTCAGCATAAAAATAAGATCGAAAACACTGAAAACAGGTTAATAATATTTCTATGACAATGGTTTGCGCCAACTCAACGCTCGTCAGCAATCTGAATACAGAGTGGTGTAGCGACACGTTGGTAGTTATAGGAGGTTGCCAGATTGAATAGATTTCGCACAATCGGGATGACCACCATTACCCACTGACCGGTATTTGCACAGTTTACCCTACGCTTCTGTACTATAATTCGCTTCATTGTATTTATTTGTAAATGTATCTTTACTGCAAAAAAATTGGGATTTCGTTAAATATCTTAAGTTTTTTACCTCATAAATCTCTCAAATTTTATTACCTCAGATCCCTTCAAAAAGATTATTTAGATATCCGATGGGTCATTCCGACGCAATATTTTCAGTACAAAACAAACAACTCATAATTAGTCCATTTTTTTATTTACACAATACTCAAGTGCCAATATATGTTAAAATTCATTTTATGGTCATGAAGAAAAATTCGAGCCATACACCTGTATTTTTACTAAATAAACTTGTACAAGTACATTCTATTTGTACTAAAAGGTTTCTTAATAGTCGATCATAAAAGACATTTTATTTCTTTGAAACTATAAGCCATGGAAGTATCACAAAAAATTTTCCTTTGTTGAAAATCCATATAAATTGCTGTAACAATTTTTTTGCAGTAACAAACATTCATTCTCTCGTCCTAAGTTATCACAGTACAATATCACGCCCTAAGTGTACATTTCCCTACCTACTCGACATAGCAAAGTGGTCAGTTAAAATTAGCTATTTTAGCAAAACAAATTTTTGTCAATCGTTTAAAAGTGAAAGTAAAATTAACTACTGTGCTCGAATGAAATAAAAGTACTTAGCTTCACAATCTACTAATACTTTAACATCGAATTGTACCTGCTTCAAAGAAGATTAATTAGTCTTTCATAATGAACCACTTAGAAGTTTGGTTCTCTCTTGTTGAGGAAAAAAGACATAAACAACAAATTATATAACAAATTATTTCTTACATTTTAATATTTTTTTTTTGTTTCCAGAACTATCTAAATAAGAACTCGTCATGGGAATATTCAAAGGTTCGCGAACGATTTTACTATGCTCCATTAGGCGTTCCTCATCTCAATTTCCGCGAAAAGGCAGTCGTACAAGAATTCTCCAAAATTATAAAGAAATTCATAGGACATGGTGCGTCAGGAATTCGAATTAGAAATGCTCCATTGTTGCTGGTAGATCCCAAATTTCAAAACGAAGCCAAATTTGAACACAAGGATGGTGTCGAAATTGGAGATCCTGAATTCTTCACTCCTACCAAAACTATGAATTTATTGGATCTTGGCAAGCTGCTGTTGAACTGGAAGGAGGTTTGTATATTTTAATTGACTTCATTTATTAAGGAACTCTTTCTCATCAGTGTCAAGGAGGTTCGTGTCGTCAGCATATCGGATGTTATTAATAGGTTTTTCATTCACCTTTATTCCTATTTCTATATATTCTAAGGCATCTTGGAAAATGGATGCAGAATATAAATTGAACAGGAGTGGCGACAGTATATACCGCTGTATGACTCCTTTGAGAATTTGAATATCCGATGTTGCCATATTTCCGACTTTTATGTGAGCTAACTGGTTCCACTGGCTAACAAGTTCTCGATAATAGATAAATGTACAGTAGTGTAATGTGTAGTATGTATCTGAGTCTATAAAATATCCAAATTAACTTCAGAATTAAACGAAATCTCGCACAATGTTTTCCTTTTACAAACTTTTTCTTATTTTAAAAATAGCAACTGTGGCAACACTGTCCTAATAGCTTATGTTTGTCAAGGTTTGTGCGTTAAAAAAGACGCTAGACAAAAGGAACTCAGTGTATATGCATGAAACAAGTCATGTGTCAATTCTATCAAGTTATACAGTCCAGAATCATTGTTTAAATTTTAACCAATGAACCTTTGAAAATAAAATACGCCATTTCCTTTCTCATTTTCCTTCCTTAGAACCCATATTTTCAATTAAATTTGCGATGCTAACAACTGTTTCATTATTTTACCGAATTACTTAAAAATCATTGCATACATTTCAGGTGGTAAAAAATAATACAGTGGATGGTCTCTTAATGGTGGCTGAAGAATTGGGTAAAATTCAATCTTACCAAGTTAACGACAGCTTAGTGGTGGATCTACCTCTTATGACAAATGTGTTCTCCAAACCCAATGTCACAACCATCGTGAATCGATTAAATCACACATTTAAGATTGATAACGTCAAATGGCCCCTATGGAAGGTAAGTTACTTCGGTAAAAAATGAATTTTATTGAACTCATTGAAAAAATATAATACTTTAAGTTCAAATAGAAACATGGGCTACATCGTTTATTTAAAGTTTTAGATATAGTTGTAAAAAAAGCTTATCAGAATATCGCTTTTCATGTTAAAGAGTTGTAATCTTCCATTGCCTTACATATTTCATTAATCAAATCTTTTTTATAATCCTTCTATAATTATAAAAGAAGCCGAGGACGACCACCGACTAGATGGACCGATGACATTAAACGTATAGCGGGAAACTGGCTACAAGCGGCCCAGTGTAGAGAACACTGGAAAGAACTGAGGGAGGCCTATGTCCAGCAGTGGACGGGATTGGCTGATTGATGATGATGATGATTTTAAAATATATTCTCTCATCCGCTAACTATTTTTGATTCTGCCACTTTTATAATAGCAATTAAATTTCTTTGACTTTTACTTTAAATTCGTTCCACAGTTCTTCGCGACGTTATAGTAGTTTTTCGATATTTAATCCATATAAATAATAACTACCTTGCTAAAATAAAAGTTATAATTGCAAACGCATGTGCGAAATTTATAAAAATGAAAAAAGTTCATTTTAACAGAGGTTTGACATTAGTTCTAAAATACAATTGACTAAATGTTGCTTATACAGTGTGGTATACTGGAATTGAATCGTGGGGGGTGAAGTCGTGAGAGTTGTAGGGAGGCAGGTCTGGATTTGAACATACAGAAAACCAAAATACTCGTAGTAAGTAAACAACAGCATATAAAATCGTCTATATATGTAAATAATACCAAACTTGAGCAAGTTGATAAAATCGTTTACCTTGGACAGCAATTAAATTGTAACGCATAAAGTCACGGCGAAATTAGATCTAGGATAGAGCAGGCTAGAGCTGCTTTTAGAAGGATGTCCAAGGTATTATGTAACAGAGACCTAAAATTGGCATTGAGGATCCGCCTACTTCACTGCTACGTGTTCTCGGTCTTACTTTACGGTGTCGAGTCCTGGACTGTAAATAAAATTGATCTAAATCGCCTTGAGGCTTCCGAAATGTGATGCTATAGAAGAATTTTGAAAGTTTCCTGGTTGGAGAAAATTCGAAACTCCACAATACTAAAACGTCTCAGCACGACTACTGAGATCATAAAAAGCATCAAACAGAGAAAGTTGGAGTATTTCGGGCATGTAATGAGAGGTCCCAAATATAGGTTGCTACAAAATATCACGCAACGAAAAATAGCAGGCAAACGCAGTCCAGGACGAAGAAGAACCTCATGGTTGAAGAACTTGCGAGATTGGTATGGTGTTAATACACGCATGCTATTTAGGGTGGCAGTGAATAAAATTAAGATAGCTATGATGGTAACCAACGTTCTGAAAGGACATAGTACATGAAGAAGAAGATATTTGTGGTCTCTTTCATATTAGCTTTTATTTTGTAATACAGTTCATCATTAAAAGTTTGACTTTTATTTATTATTTTATTGATTCATTGCCCTTCTTCCATCTCTTTCTATTACCTTCATTATTACAACCCACAAAGTTCGATTGTAGAACTATTTTATTTTATAGGAAACAAGTTCTTCTCTTCCACCAGACGTCATCAGTATCGTGACAAGTCTTCTTCCAGGAGCAAGTTTGGTGAAATTAAATGATACTATAGATCACCAGCTTCTTCAAATTAGGGAATCGCCTTCGATCATGAGGGGTAATTGTGACATGTATGCAGTCAGCAATGATACCGTATTTGCTTTTGTCAGGTAATATAAATTCTGTTTATTTTTTATAATAATTCATGGTTTCGAGTCACTACAAATAACGGGTGGTTTTTTAGAGGTATAGAACTTTAAAATCGAATACTACAAATAAGTTTGTAAATTTATATCAAAGTGACTTTATTCGAAAGCATGTATATGTCTTTATATGTCATATAAGTGCTATGTATATGTCTTTGCTATGCAAATGGCTGCCGCAGTTGACTCAAATGTAGAGGTCCAATATTTTTGGTTGTATATAAACAAAAACGTGACGAATGTTGTGCTCCAAGTCTATAATCTTCCTGGCTAATCGGCGTAGATTAGTAACTTTACATACCCCCACAGAAAATAGTCTAGCGGTGTTAGATCGGATGATCTTGGAGGCCAATGCACAGGTCCCAAACGTGAAAATATGCGGTCACCAAACGTTTCCTCCAGTTAATCAAGTGTGGCATCAGCTGTGTGATACTTAACGTCATCTTGTTGAAACCACAGCAATTCCACATCAAGGTTATTCGATTCAGGAGACAAAACGTCAGTGATGGTGGCTCCATAGCGGTGACCATTGACTGTAATCTTATCGTCAGCATCGATTTTGAAGAATTACTAACCGATGGTTCCACCCATGGACGTATAAACATAGATGGACACAGCAATAAGATACTTTTAACACACAATGTTTTGAAGCTTCCATAGAATGTGATGCTTCCGCAATGAGCATAAGCGTGCTTGAATTTTTACTCGCGGGTATTTATTCAGATTTTAAAAATTGGAAGTAGTAATAATGTATAAAAACACGTTCAAAGAATAAAAAAAAATGAGAGTTTAACTATTAACAAATCACGTCTTTAAAGAAAAATTAAAATACAATTTTATTTGCTTTAATATGAATACAATTAAATATAGTTGAATTCAAGTTAATTTTTTAATAGGTATCAAAATAATGCTACAATAAAAAAATTTTATGTTTTCTCCTAAATTTGCTACCAAAATAGTTCGATCGTCAATATTATTTGGAAACCTACATAGAAAAATAAATGAGTTTTATTCATTTCACTAATTTATTTGTATCCATAAGAAATATTAAATTAAAAAGGACGTTAAATTAAAAAGACGGAAGAAAAAACAGATTTTTTTTAATCAGATGATGTCTACTTACAATTTAAAAATGTCTACTAATTTCATGAATTTATATCTTATTCAATACATTAATGAACATGAATAAACCCAATGGTACGCCTATTAAAATGTAAACAAACACGCTTCCTCATTTCCTCATCTTAAATAATATAAATTGTATGTACTTACAAATGAAATGAGAGATCGGGATGTAAATATTTCGTTTATTTTATTCCACTTTTCACAAATATCACTTAAAATACAGCCAAAATATCGAAAAACAACTTTTACTAAAAAGTAAACAAACATGGAAGAGCATTTGAAGTTTGACGTAGATCCATAAGACAGAGAAATGTAAACAACCATTGCCATTTATAAACAGTTTTCAGTGCTTCTACATATAAAATAATTGATTGATATCTCTTATATGCTATTATTAAATGATAATGCACACTATGTACACACTTTATATTTTGATTAAAATTAAATATATTAATCCAACCAATAAATTATTATTTTGGTTTGATAGCACCTGTAGAGTATAAAATACGGAGTAATATTTTCAGCGACTCGCGAATAAGAAATTTTAAAACTAAACGTGACAACAGTTGAAGGTGCTGAGAATGTGACCTATTCAAATAATTTTGACTTCACAATTTTATGTAAATAACTGAGTCCATCTGTGTTTATACGTCCATGGTTCCACCAGCCCATAAAGCATACCAAACACTGAGTTTTCTGGATATAACGGATCTTAATATATGATTGAGTATGACCTGTACTCCAAAATAAACAGAATTCGCTAATGAAAATCAGGATCAAGAGCAATTTCGTTTTAAACCCAATCACCTTCGTTGACCTTGTCCGGTGATTGTGTGGCTTCAATTCTTGCATGAGTTGGATTTTGTAAGTGCACAAACCAAAATTTTTTCGCAAAATCTTCCACAACGTTAATTGACACAGCTCCAATTCTTATCCAATACCTCGATCATCATAATCTGAATAATCTGTGTGTCTCTTTCTCTCAATTGTTCACCAAACTCTAATGAATCACATAAAATGTTGGTACTGGATATGTATTATGCCACTCTTACAAGGTTCATTGTGTTTGTCTTTTTTTTGGTGATAGATAACGTGTCCCGTTTTTCTTGATAATATTCCGGCTCCAATAATATTTTTTTGGGTTTGAATTCCTTTTGTCTCTCCTCATTGTTTGATTTTTTTAAATATTCACTTTTACTGTCTTTAGGAATGAATGTGATCTGGACTATCTTTGTAGTTAATACTCAATCCAAGTAATTGTTTAACAGTTTGCGTTCATTCGTTGGTGTCCCCATTTTTATCTTTTATTAATAGGATGTTGAGATTTTTTTTTTCATAAAAAAATTGTTTAGCCCATCTCTTAAAAAAATGTTTATATTTTCGTCTATCTGAGAGTGTACAAGGTATATACACTCTATCATAGAGTGGCTCAAAAAAGATTGGTAGGAATATCTAGAATTTGAACAACAGAGAACAAAACTTTTTAAACATTGACATTTCTCTGACTCGAAACCATGGAATTAATGTTTATTACAAACAATAATAAATTGTTTATAACGTTTCACGCTTACTTGATGATTTAGACAAAGGTATAGTATTTCTGAATTTAATTAATACAGCCATAGTTCAAATGTACAAACGGTTATTATTTTTGTTAGGAATTAACCACAATTTTAGTTTAAACTGTGTTTATTATGTCGTTTCGATTTTCACTTCAGAATATTCTTGCAATGTAAAAATTTATATTTTGTTTGACGTGGAAAATCGAGTTGTGGGTGCTTTATGTTTAACTCATTAATATACTGGTACTACAGGTAATTTTGTACAAGCTCGGCTGGGAGACCATTAAATTTTAATCCTTAAATTTTTCAAGCCCCTGTGAATTTGGTATTTGTATAAAAACGTATAAATACTTGAATAGTGTTTGCCCAGCCAGTGTTGAGTCATCGTAAAATTATATTTGTTTATCTAATAACTTGCATTGATAATTGATAGGGATTCAAAATTTTCTTATTATACAAAGCGTTAGTCTATCTGAAGCGAATGATGTTTTTTCTTTACACTTATAGATAGATAGATAGATAGATAGTTTATTTGACTGTAAGTTACAACTAGGTATACAGCAAGTCAAAACTAAAAGTATAAATATTAAATAGTACAAAAAATGTAAACAATACACTAAAAATATTTAAAACATTAAAATACTTGAAAAACGTACAATATAGACATATAATTAAAATATTAATAAATTTGGATATGTTGCAGCTTAGGCATTCACAGATACACCCTCGTAGAACCATAAAGTGCCTTAGTTCTATCAGAGTAGCAGCAAAATACACTCCTCAATTTTTATAAAAAAATGAGCAGTGTATTTCGAAGGATAAATATTTATTACTTACATACTGTCACTGCCAAATCTTAAAATTTATCAGATAACTTATTCTGTTCAACCTCAAAAAGGGCTCTACATGCTAGCAAAAAACTAAACGCAAGATTTAATAACGAAATTAGGTGTTTGGTAACTATATGCCGTGGCGAACCACTTCAACGTAAGCAGTACAACAGTTTGTAATATTAATAAAAGATGGAGAGGACAAGAAACTCTCGAACGAAAGCAAGGTTCTGGACTACCATAAATATCTACCGCTCATGAAGATCGTACACGTTTAGAGAGATTAGAACAGAATCCTTTTGAAGATGCAAGAATTATGTCATAGTTTCCGGGAAGAAAGACAACAACTTAGCGCAGAATTAAAGCATCGCGTCTTAGGTACCGAACCGCAGCAAAATAACAAGCTCTTACTGTTACAGAACAGAAGCAATCAAGACTTATATTTGTTTTAAACCATTAGCTACAAAATCAAGATTTTTGGGACAGTGTAGTATTTACAGATGAGAAAATTTTTGAATCTTCTAAAAAGGGCAAAATCGGGGTGTATAGACCAGATAATAAAGATTAAATCCTCTATGTTGATAGATATCGAGCAGCTGGTCATTTTAGCGCCAATGTATGGGGATGAATTTCATCTAGAGGAATGGGAATACTATGGCATATTGATGGCAGGTTTGTTGAGAAGACTTACCTGAATATTCTAGAAAACATCGTGTTTCCCAAATTTTTGGATTACCCAAAATCTAGATCCATCCTTCGAAATTCGATGTAGAATTGAACAGGCAAGAAACTCATTTCAAAAATTCAAGCCTCTATTATCCAATAACTCATTAAATTTGGAAATCCGTGAAAAGTTTACAAGATGTTACGTGTGGTCTGTACTTTTGTATGGATGTGAAACTTGGACTTAAAACGCCGATATCATGTATAAAATCGAGGCGTTTGAGATGTGGTTGTATCGAAGGATACTAAAAATTCCATGGACTAGCAGAACCAGAAACGAAGAAGTTCTTCGAAGAATGGGACATCAACGAACTCTATTAAATATTATTAAGAGGCGTAAACTAGAATATCTTGGACATATAATCAGGGGACCAAGATATGAGTTCCTTCGGCTAATTCTCAACGGTAAAATCGAAGGAAAGAAATGGATAGGACGGAAGAAACTCTCTTGGTTGAGGAATTTGCGGCAGTGGACAGGTTTGACAGCGGACCAATTGCTACACATAGCCCAAGACCGAGATCAGTATAATAATATTATAAGCATGGTAGTCGCCGACGTTCCGTAGGGATATGGCACTCTAAGAAGAAGAAGTGGATCCAGAATAACAACATCGAAACCTTACCATAGCCCAGCTACAGTCCAGATTTAAACCCAATCGAGAATGTGTGATTGGTTATTATAAAACGGTTGTATCGGCGTAATTTTATACCTCAAAACGCTGAAGAGCTGTGGCACGGTATGCAACAGGTTTGGGAAGAGCTCTGCAGATGGACCGAAGACTACAAGCTGTTATGCAATGCTGATGGAGATATTCCAAAATATTAATTTTATTTTTCCACATCTGAATTTAGTATAGTCTATTTTTTATTAATAGAAAAACTGTGGTTTTGCTTATGTTAAATAATTTTGCTGCCTCTGATAGTGCCCAGTTATATTTTAATTTGGTTACAATCCTTGCTTTAATATATTGTTGAGTTAAGTCATTTGTTTTATTGCTTAATAATAATAAAAATTATACAACAACCCTATTTGATATAAAAACTATCATTTATATACTCTTTATAAAATGCAGGAATTCAAAATAATATCACAATTTAGACCTTAATAATTATTAGAATTGTTCAATAATCAATTCTTCAATAATTGACAAAATGCCCCTGAAGATGCTCTATGAAGCTAAAGTACTTGGGCAAGATTTAATTAAAAAAATAGTGCTCGATATCGCCTTGCATTTTATTAAAAAAAATCATTTATTTGTTCATCGAAACAAAAAAAAAATGTTGTTTTGTTTCGATGAACAAAAATTGCGCACAAATGAGGAAGTCTACAGATAACGTTAATAGCGTGGTTCTGCTGCAGAAGCAACAATCTTATTTTCTAAATACTTTTTGTGTGATATATAGTTTTATTCTTAATTTTGAATTGTTTTTTAGGGAGATATCCGGAAATCCAGGAGTTCTCGTTCTTCTAAACACAGGTGATCAGAAGGTGACTCTAAATGTGAAACAAAACATCGCTGCCTTGTCCGATTTAGACGAGGTGACAATACAATATTATAGTAAGAACTATAATGAGACTAGTCATAAGGACATTAAGTAAGTAAATATTTCTGATTGCTGTTATGATGCTGGTACGATATTAATCTAGCCTAAGTAAAAACGGCAAGTTTTTGACGCTCATTTCTTTTTAATTTTTTATTAATTCCGAAAATTAATTTTGCTCGTTTTTTGTAAAACGATTTCCTACTAGCCATTTTTTAAAGTTAACAATAATATAGTAACACAGGGCTAAATCTGGTGAATACCGTGGATGGTCTATCAGTTTGTATCCTAATGGATGTAAGTTTGCCCGTTCAATGGCCGCCTTGTGAACTTTTGCTTGTCTTTATGGAAGAGTATTTTTACAACACTTACCAAACTTTTTTAAGTCGGCGTCGAAACAATTCACTAAAATTGCATAGTTTTATTGCTAATAAAATTCCTTAGTGAAGAAAAAGGACCTTCGTCGTTTTTTCTGCACTGGTTTTAATGTTCCTTCGTCACAGGTTCATAGAAATGGATAAATTTCATTAATCTCTATTAATTAGCCAAAAAAATACTCATCTAATGAGTTTTAGCAAAAACGTGTCCATTTTTCTTATTAAAATGCTTGTGCATGTTTTTATTGCGCACACTCACTTGACGTGGTCTGAGTACTTTGATTATTTTTAAGGTAGTGACCGTTTCTAAGGCAACTGGACGAATCATCAAACACACTCTTACGACTATGAACAAATTCAGTTTTCCAAAATTTCAGTATTGCTAATGACAGTGCAGACTTCATAAATTGATTTTGTACGGCAATTTTTGCCTTTCGGGTAAAGGTACTTGTTAATAATACGCAGTATTCGATTTTTTTCTTTATTGTAAAAACATTATAAGTTTTGTACAGAAAATATGCATGAAAGGATTGTTTCATGCATATTTTAAAACACTGTATACCATATAGGTTAGATATACGTGCTCAGCTTGGTGAGAGCGAACCGAGCCAGCTTTTGCTTGACATCATGTAATGATATGTGAATGACAGATATCAAAATCGAGACTAATTCATTCGCATAACACGCCATCTGTCGAGGACTAGATTAATATCAAACCTTCCCATATTGTTTCATGTATATTTTGTGTTCATATTAACTGATTAGTATTATTCCAGTTTCGCCTTCAAGCTTAATTGGCTTTATGTATGTATTTGTTTGTAAATACATCTCACCAAATCTCATATTTATTTTGCAGTGCCAAGAAAGATTCGACGGATATTCCGATATCACCGAAATCTGTGTTGGTTCTCCAGTATGTTCCAAAGAAGAAGCAGTAAATGGAGACAGAAGGGGAAGACTGGTTGTTCTGAAATATTTAACAATTTCAATTGCCATTAAAAATATTTATGAATAAATGATAAGCAGCAATGTTGTAGTTTTTGTATTGAATGTAAGTAACAGAGAAAAGTCAGGCATTGATGCCTTCTGGTGTACAGCGCCCTCTAGAAATCACATTTTTCGTTTTAAATAATAGGTACTAGCTCAATTGAACAGAAAGTGGAAGTGTGTACCATTAAAGTGGATAAAAAGTAGGTAGAAAGATTCAACTCTTTGAATATATTAATACAAAAGAGCCATAAACCAAAATCACAGTTTTTACATAGGAGCTACGCAAAGTAGCCTACCTTTATTTTTGGTTCATTTCTCTTTTATTTTATATCATTTATATGCAAGTTAAATATTGTTAGAAATGTAAATTTAAACTGTATTTGATATTGTATTGAAATACAGTGTAAGTATTTTCCTGAAAGGGATATTAGCAGATATGTTTTTTTGTATAGAAAATATTTGTTATGTTGATGATAAGTACATCACATACCAAAGAAACATTTTAATCATTGTTTTTGTCGTTAATTTATGTAGATTTTAGTAAAATTCTTACAAAAAAAAAAAGATGACATCAGTCTATAAAAATAACAAAAGTTAATTCTAAAACTACCCCCTCTGTGGCTCAGTGGTAAGAGCGCCTGCCTTTAAACCTAAAGGTCGTGAGTTCGAATCCCACCTGGGTGAAAGTTTTCGTTTATTAAAAAATAATAATAAATGAAAATAATTTCTATCCTTGTGTGATCGGTACACACCGGAGGGACCGCAGACGTTCGGATACAATTAGCGTCTCTTAGCAAAGACAATGACGTCGACTTTGCTATTCTAAAACTAAATAATATTATTGGAGTTACGAATGTTAAAGCCGTAAGTGGGTTTTTAAAAAATTATTTTCGTAAAAATTTATTTATTAGGAACACACAAGTATGGTAACAAGTACAAAAACAAAAAGCTCTTAATCTAATTAAACACTGGTATATACATAGTCTCTCTTTATGTCGTCACACATTAGATAATCCAGAGACGTAACTCCTCCGCCCTTTGAAAGAACCATGTCCTTGGTGAGTACTTCTTTACACAATAAATCCTTGGGTTTATTCTTTATTATTGTCATATTTATCTTTAGTTCGAAATATTCACATAACAATGCCTTTTTCTGAAAATTTATTAATTGGACTGCACAAGGGACTTCTTCGGTTATCGTTAGTTTATTACTGCCTTTACGCATATTATGTACTCTTCTGAGTCTATTTCTGTGCATATATCTTCCATGTAGATTCCAGGGAAAGGTTTGTAAGGTAAATGAATAAGATAATTTGAGTTGTTCATAGGAATGGGAATTAAAAATAGTTGGTAATGATCATATATTTCCGATTTAACTAATGGAATCTTTAATACAAAAATGTAATTATAGAATTTAATAAATAGCTCTTAACATTTATTATTTTTTTGTACTGAATTATTTTTCCTAGTGTAGTATCAAAAGGCGTGCATTTTGACTTTGTCTGAGATTTTGCTTCCTTTATTTCATTTAAAAGTTCAACTGGATTTGCTATAGTTGCTTGTACAAGTTATTTATTTTGGCAAACAAGATTACAGTTTCTATTTTCTCAAAAATTTCATAGATTGTTTGATAAACTAAAGTAATTTGATTTATTGCTATAAATGACTGAATATGTGTGTACTTTTATCAAATAAAGCTAATTTATTTTCTATAGCTTCAATTTTTGATTTGAAAATCAATTGATTATGTGAAATGTTAGTTATAGCATTATTAAATGTATTTATAGAATCTTGCAATAAAAATATTTGTCTTAGGAAATTGACTTTTAGGTTATTTTGATTATCTTTTGTTTTATTTCGTTTTCTACTCTTTGTGCGTCTTCTTGGTCCATATTTCCTGTGATACATTTTATTATTATTCCTAGAGAATTTAGAAGTCCTCTTCTTATTCTCTTTTCTTCCTTGGAAGGTGGATTAATTTGATATATCTGTTCTTCTATTTTATTCCGCAACGTAATTAAATGGATGAATGAATTTTCTAATTCTGGATAATAACTTGTTTGAGTTCGGAAACTTGTGTGTAGTATTTGAGCTTAATTTTTCAATAAATAAAATTCTTGTATGACAGAAGTTAAATTGTAAATTTGTATGAATGTCCAGTGTGTAGAAATTGTTTTGGAGGTACCTAATCTAAAAGGTAGGAGTCCTGGATATGAAGTTATATCTTCGAACTTGACTAAATTGTCTCTTGCGTTGATAGAGTTGACTGCTCCGAAGATTCCGACGATAAATCTGAAATATTATGCATTATTTTAGTTTCGTTTCCGCGATCTTCTTTTCATTCTTTTGATTTTCAATTTCTATTTTCCCATTTTCTAATATGTATTTGCGTAAATATATATGGTCCGGTATATTTTCTACTTAATTTTCCTCCGCGAGTTTCTGTTTTTCTATAAATTTGTGATCCTAAACAAGGATCTTTTAAGTTTCTATCTTTATTTCTTTTTCCAATTATGTTTTCTTTAAGTTTTTGATTTTCTTGTATACTTTTATATTATTTTGACGTGCAATAACATATTGAATATAAGCTTGTGCTGGAATAAGTCTCATGGGATCTGTACTGTCTGTATGTCCCGATACTAATTTGAAAGATGTATTGCCAGTTGCTGAATGTATAGTACTATTATAGGCAATAACAGCATAAAGCATAATGGAAATATCTGCATTTTTAATCTTTTTCTTTTACTAATCTTAAGTGCTCGGTTAAAGTAGAATGGAATCTTTCTACCGGAGAATTGGATTCGTGATGATATGGAGTAGTAAAATGTATTTTTATTTGATGTCTTTTTAATAATTCATCTACAAAGTCATTTTTGAATTCTCCGCCACTGTCTGTACCAATTTGCTTCGGAATTTCGAAAAAGTGAAAAGAAAAGTACTAATTGTTGACACGCTGATATCGCTGTACCAAAATACGGTAACGCTTGTCCATATTTGGAAAATTTATCTATAATTGTTAAAAATCTTTGATTGCCAACTTTATAAGTGTCTGTATCATGGACTGTATATGTATTATTTCAAATGGCTTGGAGGGAGTGTGGGTTAATATTAAAGGTTCTTTATGTGGGTTTCTCTTATATTTTGATCTCTGGCATTCGTTTATATATTTTTCTATATTCTTTTTAATTGATTTCCAGTAATAATTTATTTTTAAAGCTCTAAGGCTCTCTGAAATTCCTCAAAGATTCGTTTTGCCGTCGTGCTTATATTTTATTATTCCGACCCCCCTATTTTATTATTCAGGACCCCCTATTCCGACACTGTTATTCAAAATGACCCCTCCCCCCTAGAGAAAAATTCTAGGTGCGCTACTGTTTCTTCTGGTAGTACATTCAATCAATTTTAATTTTGTAAAATATTAAACCATACATTCTGAAATATTGGTCGTAATTCTTGAGATAAGAAATAAATGTATAAAGTATTTTTGCAGGCATTTTCTTTAAGGAATTGGACCAGTCTTCGTCAGCTGAAATAGTAGCTCTTATTATTTTATGTGCTTCAAAATTCTCACATTCGCGTTTTAGATAATTTGCAAAAGGCGTTCTTTTAACGATAAATTGATAGGCTTTATTGTTTATAATTTCATCTAACAATGAGAACCTATTTTCATTTGAAGGTTCAGCACTATGGGCTGTGTCTGTCTCTGAGTTATCCATCACAACATTTAGTTGTTCTTATTTCCTGTTGATATTATTTTATTTACTTGTGGGGTTTTGTAACCTCATTGTTACCAAGAATTTACAAAGTTTCATTTATTACATTCTCATCAACTATGTTTGGGTTAAATTCAGCTAAAAATTGGTCAATATCAAAATTTGTCACTGGATTATTTAGTCTACTATGAAAATTTTAAAAAGTTAATTTTTTGTTTTTTAACGTGAAATATGTTTATTTTACATCATTTCAACCTATCCCCATCTTAGTTAGTTGTGTAGTTTCCACAAGCAAGTTGTTTGAGATCAAAGAAACTTTCATGGGTCAGTTCTTTTCATTGAATAAGGTGGTCCTTTTTTCTTTGCAGTTTTTATTAATGTTATACTTTTATTGGTCAGGTACATAAATTGGAGAAGATTTCAAAACTCTGGACACATTTCTTTGAATTGTAGAATTATCCGCATCGCCGTTATTTTGAATGTGTCCTTTAATTAGAATTTTTTTGGGAATGTATTTACGGCATATTGATCCATTCCCATCATATATTTATATTCTTGCTGAATATCACAGCAATTATCGTTATAAAACACAATGTTGAAATCATCAGTTGCTTTGTTTCAACTCTTTGTTTAAACATTCCAAATTCATAAATACACAAGCCAATTTTATTTACTCCTCTAGCTTATTCTCCTTCATGCTTTACAAAACAAGTAGCTTTAGAACCAGTTTGGTTCTAAAGCTACAACTATTATAGAGTCTAATAATAATATTATTACAATCTATGGAAATTAACAAATTAAAAAACGCCGTAATTCTGAATGACCAACTTGAGACAAACAGTTCTCTCCTCCTCCTCCTTTTTCATTAAAGACGATAAAGTGTAAACGCATACCAAAAATAAATCACTTGAGAAAGGTACTCTGCTGAAACAGCAGTAGTGATAAGATTTTATATTAAATTTTGTGAAAGTTTTGAAATCGTTTTTAGTATTTTATTGTTATATAAAATGAATTTCCATCAAGTAAGAGTTGAATACATCACTTATTTAATTTTTGGGTATATTGATATTGTAATGTTGGTACTCCGCCTGTCTAGTACATGTTTGCTATTTAAAATTACTTGAAAAAGTATCTCATGGTTTCCATTATTGTTTCATTTGTCATATTTTTTAGAGTTTGGTATGTCATCAGATCCTGCACCTTTTCAGTTTGTTAATTTACAAATACTCTAATTTCTCCTTTTGTGATTTACATCTTGCCATTATCATCACTTTCTTCTTCTTCTTCTGTTGACCTAATACTGTCCCCATTGTTAGTTCTTGTTTCAAGATATTCATTGTTTTGTTTCTATTTATTTAGATGTTTAGATTTCTCATGTTTCAAGCCGTTTTTATTCCTCTTTTGCCAAGCTCCATGATGGATTAGCTTGTCAACATGAACAATACATCTGAATGAAAAATACAACTACTACTCAAGCAATTTATTTTATAGAGATAGGGATATACACATAAAAAATTAAAACTAGTGAATTATTAAGACGAAGTTCTTGGTTTTAGTTCATCATAACATGGTCTCAGGAAAATATAATTCTTCTTATGAGTATTATAAAACTCATGCCCTTTGCTCCAGTCATAACTAACAGAATAAGCAAATATCTGCCCATTGTGGTTAAAAGCGCATCTACTTATGGGTTGTTCCATTAATTCAGAAGGTTTTAATTTAGTCCTAGCATCTTTGTCCCAAAAACTGAACGAACCATCTGCACCCACAGTTGCTAAAGTACCATGAACGGGATGGAATGCAATATCATTCACAGCGTAGATATCTTGGTAGCCATTTGGTGTTCCGTTTGAGCGATGGCATTTGAAAGTAAAGTTATCTTTTGGGTTAGTAGGATTAACATATTGAATGGCCACTCTACCCTCTACTGAACCTAGAGCATAACCTGTTGGTTGCTTCTTTTTATCTCTGAAAAAATAAAAAATTGCTAAATAATTTGAATGAGAAGTTCATCATTTGCAGAATACTTTTCTGACATTTTTGTCTACAGAAAACATTTCTGTTTGATTTTCATCAAGTTATATTATCGAATAATTTAAGATCTATTTTAAGTAGACATAAACACAACATTTAATGAAATACTCATTAAATATTCAAATGTATCAACTATTGTAGTTAAGTTTCATAAGTATTGAAAAAATTGTACATTGTATGTAATTAATAACCTATATAATTTATGTGACCTTATTCTTTGTGAAATTAGAAGAAATGACTTATACCTAAGAAATAAAACTTACTTAAAAATAGCAACACATCTATGCTGATATTTCAAAGGACTGTCCAGCTTTCTATATTCTTGAGGCTTACTATCCAATTGATAGACAATGATCTGTCTTCCTGCTGTTCCCACTACAGCCATAGGATAATCCACATCAGCACAGTAACATCTTTCTGGCAAGTTAATACTCATCATAGGATTAGGACTTCGAGTATCCCAAAATTTTAGTGTTTTATCCCAAGAACCTGTCATCAAACAAGAATAATTGGAAGCTTTGATCCAATGACATGTTTTGATTGGAGCATCATGCATGGCAACCTGCACAACTTGGTTACTGGCCAAATCCCACATCTTTGCTTGTTTGTCACAACCAGCCATAAAAACCTAAATAAGTAATATAATAATAGTTTATAATATAGAAACATCTTGGGTTTAAAAGAACACATGTGACCAAATAAGAATATATAAATATAAGATGAAGGTGTACAAACTTTTAAATATTTGGAGAATTATATAATAAAGGAAAGGAATTATATAATAAAGGAAGTAGGAAGAAAAAATATAGTTAGTATATATCTGTAAATAAAAAAAAGTTCTAATCAGCTATCATCTAGCTAAAACAATTTTCATATAAAAGCAGCCACAACTTATACAGGAGTATATACCTCTTGTTCATCAATACAAATAATGAATGGTGCATCTTATAGCATTCTAACTGTATTTCATAAATTTGGTTGGTTTTAGATCTCATAAATGTTTATATGGGGTCTGAATGTAAACTGATTTGTTACTTTTGAGAAACAATTCTTTAGATAGTAGATGGCAATATTCCTGCCATACTTTCACAACAACTTAAGAGCCTCTGACTGAGACAATGTCTTTCTCAAATAATTATACACATCAGAAATTACATTAGAATCAGAAGTCCTTATTATTTGTGAGAACTTTTCAAATTTGTCACAATCTGCCTACTACAACTTGCTTGTTCCAACTTCCAGAAAACGCAATTTAACAAAAAAAAACAATGTATTGCTAAATACACAAAAGCAAGTGTAGCTGACACTGGTATATCATAAATTAAAATAATTGTTATGAAACCTTCTGGTGAACCAATTGGATCAGGCTAATGAGGATCATGACATGTATTTAACATAACTATTTAGTATATGGTGCAGATAAATAAATATTGATTGTCTGTAATTTGCAAAGTTCTATTTTATTTACTATTTAGTTTGTTTACTATTAATATTGACTATAAGTACTTGTGCTTGGTTGTATAGTAATTTCCAGCCTCTTTTAGTCTGTCACAAAGTAACTAACTTCACAAAAAAATAATTACTAAATTCACTAGACAGTTGGGACTGGGAATAGCGAACCAAGTATAATTGCATTTTTTGTTAGGTAGACATAGAATATTCCTGGTGAGTGGGTGATGCCAGCAGGAAATGCCATGTTCCTTCCACCTACATAAATAAAAGTTCAAATATCATCAAAATGAGTTTTTCAAATATATAGAAATAATATATAAAAAGCAGTTATATTCCATGTGGATTTTGATCATTTACACAGTCAGTTTTTATTTTACCTACTTAAGTAAGTCTGCCATGTCTTCCCAGGCCATTTTCTGAGAGATGATATGTATCATACTTAATGCCTTCTATGTTTTTGTGTTGACATTTCATCCATTAGTTTCTTAACATGTCCTAAATATAACATTTCAACAGATTTCCTAATATCTATCTTCTTACATTCACTGAAAAATTTGTTATTCTCTGTGTATAATATGCATTATATTCATAAAATATATCAATAACAAAACATTTCAAATGCTTTCCCACTTTTACTGTTTTTTATTCACAGATTTTCATACCTTAGAGTCAGAAAAGACAGTGAGATCAAGGTTTTGAATAAACTGATTTAATTTGATATTCATAAGAATGAACAATGGAAGTAATCATTACCTCCATATAATAGATGTTCCATCTAGCAAGATACTCTTAGAACTTCATTAAATACTACCATCGTCATTATTTGTTTTCCTCCAAATCTTCTTAAGCCATATTATGCAGTGTTGGAAAAATTGATACTATTTGTTCTCTTGAAAGTTAATATGTTTTAGGATTATGAAATTCCCTAGATTGCTTATATAAATTACTTTACAATATTGAGTTTATTAAAAATACTGTCTTTCTAATTTAATATCAGCCTGTGATTATGGAGTATTTAGCAGTCATATATATTCAGGAAACATTGCGAAACAACATATATATTCAAAAATCCATTCTTACAACTTACCTTCGATCCATCATCACTCCAACAAACATCTAAAACAGGTGCTCCACAAGTTTGCATAGATTTTGGAACACTTGTGCCATTGTGTTCAATCTCCCAACATCTAACGTTATTGTCCCAACTACCGGCTATCAAAAAATTTTGGGGTAACGTTGCTGGAGAAAATGCCATGGAACTAATGGAATCTTCTGGTGGCTGAACTACTTCAAAATCTTTCATGGGGTTTGCTGCACTTGGAGTGGAAGCTGCACCAAATGTACCTAACCCGCCTTGATTAAACATTTTTGAAGTTTAAATATATCTCTCAAAGAATTTAAAACATACAAAAATCAAATAAACTGTTTACCAAATGATGTATTTACAAGTACAAGGTATTTCAAACTAAAAAATATATTCGCTTGTTATCGTTAGTTATCGTGGTTCGGTTTGACAGTGACAGTTATATAAAATATAAAGGTTTTTTTGCTCTTCTTTTAATGATATCCCAGTTTGATTTTCGTCATATATGTTTATGCTTTTTCTCAACAATAACTTTTTAAGGATTTTCTTAAAAGTTAGATTTACTTATAAGGGATATAGAAAGATTCTATATGCTGTAGTAGTATAAATAAAAAGGCATGGCGAGACTTTATTATTTCTTTTAAAAGGGTATATATATATATATAGTTATAAACTGTAATAGAAGAAGAATATGTTACGTCACGTGTTTTAATATTTTACAATGACACCCAATCCCAATATATTAAAATCGTTATTATTAGTTAGATAAAAAAAACTTTGTTTAAATACTGTTTAAAAGTGATGAAAATAATAACTTATTAACTTAACTTTCCGTAGACTGTTTGAATGAAACGAACAGAAGATGAATTAACAGGTCAATTGTCACGTCATATGTCAAATTTCTTTTTCGAATTTACCATTGTGAAAATATTTTCACATTGTAAAAATCTGTAAACATCGGCGTAGAATCGCCTTTAATATATAAGTATTTTATATAGAATTAATTCAAAATGCCACCCAAGTTCGATCCCACCGAAATTAAATATGGTAAGTGTTCAAAATATTAAAAAAACTAAAGGAAATATAACCTATGTTTGTGTTATATACTAAAATATGAATTGTAATATTTGTTTTCAGTTTACATGAGATGTGTCGGAGGTGAAGTTGGAGCTACCTCTTCTTTGGCTCCTAAAATTGGTCCTCTAGGTTTGGTAAGTTTATTTCTATAAAGTGATACATGTCTCAAATCATTTGTTTTGTTAACTTTGCGCTTCTATTACAGTCTCCCAAAAAAGTTGGTGACGATATCGCCAAAGGTACTGCTGATTGGAAAGGTCTAAAAATCACAGTTCAGTTGAAAATTCAAAATCGTCAAGCTACTATTTCTGTAGTTCCATCTGCCTCTTCCCTGATCATTAGGGCTCTTAAAGAACCACCACGCGATAGGAAGAAGCAAAAGAACAGTAAGTAAATAACAGCAAACATACATCCTTTAAATGTTTTGTTAAATATATGTGAGGCTGTTGTAATGTCTGCATATTTCTCAACAATATTATGAATGAAAACTTTTGTCTTATTACCTGCAATTCTTGACACCATAATAGATACAAAATATTGAAAGTATTTGGTAAAAAACTTATTGAGTTCTTACTGTATATTATTGTTATTCTCCTTTATTTATAATATAATTCAATCTTTTAACATAAAGAATTGGTTTTGACCATTAGGTCTCTATGTGCCTTGTTCTCTGTTCCAAACCAATATATCAACTAACCCTTTTACAAAATTATGTTCTTTCACTAGATGCTCATTGTTTATTAGCATTGCTTCTCTTGAGCACTTCTTCATGTGCTTCTTAAGACATATGGTCTTTGTTCTTATTTTTGGACTAGTTCTATTACTACATTTTATATATTTGGATGTTTTCTTGGTCTATTTCTTGTTTACTTGTAAATTAGAAATCTGTATTTCTATAAAATTTCTCATGTAAGTTTATTGTCTAAGGATAGAAAAGATAAAGACATAACTTCTTCAACTTTATAAACATTAGTAAAACCAGTCATGTTTTCAATTTTTGAAAACAATGTTCTGATTAAGTAGTTTTCAATTGGCTATATTTTAGCAGTTAAGTTATATAGTCAAAATAGTTCAAAATACCACTGATTCAGAAAAATAAAATTGCACATTGTATATATTATTTGATTTGCACACATTTATATTATTTAGTCTTGTTGAGTCATTATGTAAGTTATAGTAGTAAATTTGTACAAGTATGTTTTAGTACCTCATGCTCATATTGCTTAATATAAAAATAGTACTATGCTGATATAATTACCTTAAATAAGATTGAATTCTGTAGGAAAGCAGTTATATTATAAGATCTAATTCAGTAAAACTGTTAAATGGATATGTCAATTGTTAAAAATGTGTTGCTCTTTTGCTGTATGACATAATTTTGTGTTTGTTTTTTTATCATATTAATACCTATTTTTATTTTTAGTTAAACACAGTGGTAACATTACTTTTGATGAAATCATTGCTATTGCCAGGCAGATGAGGCCTAGATCAATGGCCAAACAGTTATCTGGAACTGTAAAAGAAGTTTTAGGAACAGCCCAATCAGTTGGATGTACAATTGATGGTAAAGCAGCACATGATGTTATTGATGAGGTTAATGAAGGGACCATAGAAGTACCAGATGAATAAACTATTAGAATATTTTTTCTAAGTTATCAGTTGTTTTATTTAACCTTTAACACCCAAAATGTAACACTTTTGAATTTGTTTAGAACATTACAGCTTATTTTTATTGTTCATTTAGTGTGATTATGGTGATAAAACATGTTATTGACTAGTATCAATATTTTAAGCTGAAACAATGATTCTCTTTGTATACCAACATAAATATTAAACTTCTGGAAACACTGTGCTGTGACTACTGAAATATTTTTCATGATATAACAGGTTCTTAAAAAGATCAAATTGCTGTAGATATGTTAGTGTAACTTAAAAGAACAATCCACTTGTAGTAGCAGGGACATCTAGAGAATAGTTTTTTGAAAGTGATTCTATACTAAGCTTGGCAGTAAATATTTTTTGCTGAAATATGTTTTTTCAGACACAATTTACCACAGAAATGTATAAACATTGTATACTAAGTGGAAGGATACCTATTGTGATTTAAGCAATGTTGTTTTGTAACTACACTTATAACTCACACCTTTATGATCAGATTTAGTAGAGTTTGAAATCATGTTTTGCAGTTATAATGTCTGTGAAGATCTACATTATATTGTGTTATTCAAACCCTAAAAATCTCCAGATTGGTACACTAGTTTTAAATATTGAATTCATTTCCTTCCTCTTGATCATCCTTGCATTTATATTTAGAGGATGGCAGAATCTAGCATAGTCGCTTGCACTTTTTAAAATCATATTGCCTTTTGGAACGATTTTTTTTTTCAAAATCTGTCTTTATTTTTAACTGTATACCAAGAATATTTAATTGTGCTAAATATTAATTTTTAAAGGATATATTAATGTTTATTTGGAACTAAAATTTAAAATGTAGGCTAATGTTAAAAAAGATGGTAGGGCAGGTTAAGTGTAATAGTATGAATCTTCATACTATGTTTTCTGTATTTTTAAAATTGAATAAAGTAAGTAGTTTTTAGCATTTATTATCCATATTTTAAACACATTACATATTAATAATATAATTCAATAAATTATTGTTTGCTCCTAAGGCCACCTGCTATCTCAACAAAGCATACATTGTTTACTTTTGACAGATCCCTCAAATTCAGACAACATATTAAGTTAAAACGAGAATATTTTATTTTTACAGATATTCTATTAATTTTCAACTTCTCATTTCATGTATGTATTTTTTTAGTTATTTTTCATGCAGTTTTTAATTTAAACTTGTTTAAATAACTATAATATGATGACTAGAAACAATTGATCGAGGGTGGTTAATCGATGTAAAGAACTGCTATTTTGTTACGCTACTCGTGACGTTCGTTTTAGCATTTTACTATAGAGAAAAAATTAATAACTACTACTGCTACTATTAGTTTACAGCGTTCTCTGACGCCTTCTGACTCCTAACCGCCACTCTTCTCTATTCAACCATAACCATAGGCCTTTCTCTTTCCACTAGTTCTTTTTCAATTCCCTCTCCAGTTTTTTCTCGATCCACATCAAAATCTGTTTTGGAATCCTGTCATCTGGCATTCTCTGTACATGGCCATACCATATTAACTGTTTTGTTTTTATGTCATTGACTATGCTCGACTCCCATCATTTCTCAAAAAATAACGCCAGTATAGAGGCGAAGTCCCATGTATCCGACATAAGAAAATCGTATGGTTTCGCAGTTGCTATTTGGAAGCTAGTCACATGGATGCGATTGTCGGATACGAAAATCCGTATAAACTGTTAACTGTCAATTTATTGTTTGGATGTTTATAATTGCTGTTTTACCACTTTTGCTTAGTAAAACAGCAGAAGGGATTATTTCCGCATGGTATATAATCCCTTCTTCTGCTTTCAATTACTCAGTTTATTATGGATAACGTAGAAGAAACTATGTAACTTATGAAATGTGTAATTACGCATTCTAAGGTAATTGCAAATATTTATCAACATCATTTAGCTTCATTTCCTGCAAGAGTGCAATAGATTATTAAAAGCCCCTTGTGACTTTTTTTACTGAAATATTTAACTAACCCAATATTTTTTTTTTTCGAATTGTACGTTTTTTTCTTGCTAATTAAAAGAAGCAGACATAATAATAGCGTTTTATTAACTTTACGAACTTTACTTCTTCGATTAAATTCATGTTTCAATAAATTAAATGTATAGATGTTAAACTATTGGAATACAATTAGGTTACAAAATATCCGTTTTGTCGGAAAAAGTTAAAATAATTTTATCTTTATCCGATGTCGGAAGCGTAGTTAAAAATTTCGGATGAAATTCGGCGCGAAAATATTCTGACCAATGAGAATACTTTCGGATCATCGTGTCGTCGTCGGAAATCGGATGCATGGAAAAGCTTAGCTTCAATAGGACCTGGCTGAAAATGATATTTGATGGATTTTTTATCCTATCGCCATAGATATATAAATAACTACTATAGATGGGAAACTCCCACTGCTACACAAATCCTCTGCGACACCTCGTGGTCTGGGTCAAAATTAAAATACAACGGCGGTTGATTTAAAATATATTTATATTCGTATTTTTTAAAAAATGTAAGGATTAAATGAAGAAAAACATTTGTATATAAAACTTTATTATATATAAAATGTAAAAAATTAAGGATTAAATGAAAAAACATTTGTATATAAAACTTTATTATAGATAAAATGTAAAAAATTAAGGATTAAATGAAAAAAAAAATTGGATATAAAATTTTATTATATATAATGTAAAAAAAGACTACAAAATAAGTACCTATGATTACAAAAGCAAAAAAATAAAATGGGTGATCCTAAAACAAATAAAGTAAAAAATACTATAATTATATTTTTATGAATATTAAAAAAAATATTATATTCGTTCTCCTTGAATGTTCATAGAGAAAGGACGTAAATCGATCGACTCGCTGAAATTCGCTAACGATAAGTTAAAAATCGATTTAAAAGTTAATTAGTGATAGTTAATTGGGAAAACAGTAGAAATAATAAGGAAATATGTCTTCCGAGAACAGCGTAATGGAAGAAGAAATGGAAGATACCGGACAGTGGAATAAAATAAAAAGAGAAAAGAAACGACGCCATCGAATATCGCATTTGCTAAATCCAGTGAAAAGGACTTGGGAAAGAAAGGAAAAGGACAACTGTCTCATAAAGTAAACAGAAGAAGATTTGGACCACTAAAAACATTTGAGGTTAGATTCTGAAGTTGAGTGAAAATCAAAAGTGAATCAAAATACAGAACAAGCATCAACAGAAGTACTGTATTTTGCAAGTTTGTTTCCAAATTGTACCTTTCGTATTGAAATTCGGAATTTGTATTGTTAAATAAATAATGGATGATGAAGCTGAAACGTATAAACTATGGAGAATCCGAAAAACTGTCATGCAGGTAAGATGATCATTTTATTTAATAAAATATTGAAATTTGGTAATAAATTTCTTTTTATAGTTATGTCACGATAGAGGCTACCTAGTAACTCAAGATGAATTGGATCAAACATTAGAACAATTTAAGGAACAGTTTGGAGACAAACCCAGGTAAACATCAACTAACTTATGGAGTTCTGAGTAACTAACTTAAATATTTATTTTCAGCGAGAAAAGGCCGTCAAGAAGTGATTTAATCGTATTGGTAGCTCACAATGACGATCCTACAGACCAGTTGTTTGTATTTTTCCCAGATGAACCAAAAATTGGAATAAAAACTATTAAAACCTATTGTTCTCGTATGCAGGAAGAAAATATCCATAGAGCTATTATTGTTGTTCAAGCAGGTAATTGGAAACTAATAAATATAGATAGTACTAACAAAAGACATATTTTTCATCATTAGTTCCAAAGATTATTATTAGTTCCTTATAAGTGATATTTATCTTTTTACTTTAGTATGAATGTTTTAACTATAGTTAAATTTTTAGTATGAATGTCTTAACTTGTGAGATTGGCGAATAGATTTAGTGTCCACAGTCATTTAAACACAAACAAACAACAACAACCTGTGAGACTAGCTGAATTTAAAATTGAGCTCTATCAACTGTATAAGGAAACACCCCTGTCAGACTTCATTAGAATACAAAGATTGCAATGGGCCGGACATGTGATACGAATGGGAGAGGATAGGCTACCAAAACGAGCACTGAACTCCAGAATGCAGGGAAAGAGACCAGTTGGAAAGTCAAGAAAGCGCTGGGAAGACACAGTAAGCAGCGACGCACAAGCACTTTTAGGAGTCCGTGTATGGAGAAGAGCAGCCACAGACCGACAAGGGTGGAGGCAAAAAATAAAGGAGGCCAAGGCTCATTTTGGGCTGTAGTGCCGTAGAAGAAGAAGAAGAAGAATTTAAAATTTCTTAGTACCATAATAAAATGGATCATGCCTTTAATACATTTATTTTGTGATTCCTTGAAGGATTAAATATCTACTTGTTGTCCCTGATTTTTACAATTTTATTATTCTGTGACATCTTTTTATTATTCTGACCTCCATGTGTAATACACTGGTACACACTAGTTTTATCGGGACTCAGCATGCATATAAGGCTACGATGAGTAGATCTTCTATAGCTGTAGTGTTCTGTTCTGATGAAAACCCATATAATGACCCTTGGCTTAAAACCACATTATGTTAAAGTACAAATAGATTTAATTTCAATTCAGTTTTTGAAACTGCAGAACTTCATTTGTTACAAAATATTTTTTGTGTCCTGGGCATGTCTCTGGTTAATTTATATATTAACACAATATTGTGCAATATTTTTATTTATTTATTTCATGTTTTTTGGTAAGGTCATAAAACAGTGGCTATAAAATATTTTAGAGCACAATAAAGTTTTAATTAAATTATAACCATAATAGTCTAAAATGTGACACAGTTGTTAAAAAACTTCAATATAGCTCCAATCAGCTTTCATGTGACAGTTGGGACAAACAATAACATAAACCAACTACATTTGATTTCTTAAACAAGGAAAGAGACGCTCTTTCCTTGTTTAATGTGGACTCTCAATATGGCACTCCCTATTTAACAATATTTTTGCTCCCACTTAGTGATGGTCAGAATCGATTACTTATGGGAATCGGTTACCGTGGAATCGAGTACAGTAAGGAATCGGATACTTTATTGAGTACTGAGTACCGAGTACTGTAGCTATCAGATTTTGAATTAATAGTGGGTTTGTCAATCTTTAGGCATCTATAATTTTTCAATTATTTGTGTGTGTTTTACGTATGTTTTTTTTGTTTTATAATAAATATAAGTTTTGAAAACAAATAAGATAGGTATCACAAAAATGGACCAAAAATGTTTCTAATAAGAGAGTGTTTAAATATAATATTTGGTATAAATAAAGTAATTATTTAGCTAATAAAAAACTTTCAATATTCTACTATTGTCTAAAAAATAAAAAACAGGTTAAATATTAAATGAACATTAAAAATAGAAATTAAGTAAAATAAAAATAAAATAAAAAAAAATCATCAAAAAAAATAAAACAAAAACTACGTTAAGAATATAAACTGTTTAAAAATATAATTTTGTCCAAGTTTCTTGGTAATAGTCGGCTTCGACGATCGTTCGTTAATTGCGCTGCCTTCGAAAAGACTCTTTCAGATGGAACCGAGGTGCCAGATACAAATAAATTCCGAATAACCCGAAAATTACTGTAATTTACAACCATCTATATTCGGCAGGTACCCAGTACTCAGTACTCAATCGGTTTTCAGTTCTAGTACTCGAGTACATTTGATTCTGTAAGGAATCGGATACTACTCGATTCCAGTATTCGAATACTCCCATCTTTACTCCCACTATCTTTACATTCCCTCTTCTGCCTTTATGATGGATGTATCTGTTATATGTTACCATGGGAACAGTGAAGTTGTTAACTTAATAGTTTAGTCTAACAAATTAGCATTTTCAATAAACTTTTTTTTTAAATATGTAGTTATAATACAAATATTAACTGCTTGTTTTTCTGTAGGTATGACACCATCTGCTAAGCAGTCACTAGTTGATATGGCTCCAAAATATATATTGGAACAATTTTTGGAATCTGAGTTGTTGATCAATATTACTGAACATGAATTGGTACCAGAACATGTGGTTATGACACCAGAAGAAAAACAAGAGTTGTTGGCAAGATAGTATCCTTTTTTAAATAGATTTTATGACCATAAAGATTGGCTGCTTGTCATTTGTCTTTTATCTCTTTTTCTGATATAACTTTTTAGCCTGTAACTGCATTTGTAGATATTTTTAACCTTTCTTGCCCTTTTTGTTTTTTAACTATATTTGTTTACACATTTCCATTATTTACTTTAAATTTTCAAATTTTTTGTTTCCATATTTTTTTTAAATGTTCCCTTATAAGTATCATAATGTGATTTGCTATTCTATTTTCCATATTTGTTATTAATAGCTTTTTTAATAGTTTATTTCAAGAGTCAGTAAAATATATTGTATTTGGGGATTATAAATATTTTGATATAAAAATTTCCTTAACATTTTCTGTAGTAAATTAAAGGAAAATATGTTAATGAGAATCCAAGCTGGTGACCCAGTTGCGAGGTATTTTGGACTAAAAAGAGGACAGGTGAGTCTTATCAGGTATATAATTATCCTTAGTTGAAATTAGTTTAAAGAAGATCAACTACTCTGCCTTCAACACAACCTATGAAATGATATTGATTATATTGATACTGAAACTAATTGCCAAAGTGTATATTGTTTAGAAGATTGGCATATAAAATTATGGGAAATTTACAAATGCTCAACGAATACCAAAAAAAAACAGACTTCTTTCACCAAAATTGAACATGAAGAAGCTTTGCAGAAGAGTGGTGCCACATTTGCTCACTGTGGATGACACACTCATTCACATGACATTTGCTGAACAGGGCTTTGTACATTAAAAAAATCTTTTTTACATCCATACTGTATAATATGTACATGAAACATGCATCCACCGCTGCACACCCCAAAATCAGATTCTACAGCTCCATAGAAGACCAGGACTGGCCATCAGCAGATAAGGTCACTGAGTTAGTACTTTCAAATATGAAATTAATCGTTCTGGTTGTTCTTAAATGAAACTGGATTCAAGAAGTCATGGAATCAGGCCTGGCTTCATAAAGTAATCCTTTTTCGTAAGAACAAATGCACCTGTTTACAATAGTGTGTTGCCAATGGGCAAATTGAGTGATGTGCACTGTGGACTGTATTGGGACATTCACTCTATTTCCAATATTTTCTTCCTGGTATTTCTGTGCATTCATAAAAGTTAAAACCTACATCCCAGGTCGATCGTCCAATCAATAATCCATTGCATCTGTAGATGATAACTTTGCAGTAATTCAAGAGAAAATCTACAAAGAAGGCATTTGAAACAGATGCTTCATGTATATTAATATTAGAGGATATAAAAGTATTAAAAAATAAAAGTTTTTTGCCACTATCACACTGAATTGCTTGTGTTCAATTTATAATTTCAAAACGTTTTTCGAAATTATTGCAAACTTATTATTTTATTTGTAAATATCGTTCAAAGCTGTGTCATTTGACATAGCTGGATGTCATAAAATTGACTAAAATAAAGCAGGTTTTGAAAATCTTAAATTTTATTTAATTGAAATATATGGTTTTATGATAAACAATTTGTTTTATCATTAATGACTTTTTTCGCTAAAAATAATAATAAAAAAGTTTCTCTTGGCTATCTCATCCGTGGACACACCTTATATCTTATCTTTAACTCCAAAATATTTTTTGTTACAGGTTGTAAAAATTATTCGGTCTTCCGAGACAGCAGGACGTTATATTTCTTACCGATTAGTTTGTTAAGTATTTTTTATGGTATGAATGTAATTTTAATAAATAATTTGTATAATGGTTTATTTTTTTCTAAAATTACCTTACCTTATATTTAGATAACCAAAATGTATGGATTATCTGCAATACTTTGGAAACTATAATAATACAAAATCAATTTGAAGAAACGGGTTACATAAATGACTACAAACAACCAAGAGGAGAATCATCTAACATTGTATCAATTGACTAGGTACATGCTATAAATAACATTGAGATATTCTACACCAAAAAATTATATATTCGCGTAACTGTTTCAAATATTTTGAGACGTTATAATTTATAATAACACTGAATTGTCTTTATTTAAAATTGGAATATGACCACCGAGCTATTAAAATGTTACTTATTAAAGGCATTAAATATAAACAGGACTCTTTTTAAAGCTCTCTAGGTGAAGTTAGTACGGTCACGTCTTGATATATGTTGGGTGGGGATTGAATTAAGCATGGATCCAGATAGGAGACCTTTTCATGGTTGAAAAACATCAGAGAGTGGACGGATCTCTCCTTATTGAGAGCCTTTTATAGGACAGAAAAGATTTCTAAAATCGGCTTCCCATAGGAGATTGATTGGTTCTTGCCCAGAGTATTATCTACTCTGGGCAAGAGGTTCACATACGTCTGCTTAGCAGCGTATTAAAATTTCGTCTCAGAAGGGCGTAAAACCTGCCGAAATTTTACATCAACTAACTGCACAGTTCACTGAAAAAACGCTTTCGAGAACAAAAGTCTACGACTGGCACAAATGATTTTCCGATGGTCTAGAGTCAGTGCAAAATGAGACCTGTGCACGCCGACAGCGGACATGCACCAAAAACGCGAATATTCTTATAATATGAGAAATTGTTAAATACGTGTGAATATCATACGGAAATCAATAATTTCAAATGATTTGGGTAACAGCAAGGTGGATTACTCGCTAGTGTTCATTGTACCATACTAGAGCGCGTAACGCTACCACCAATGACACATCAGAAACCGAGTGCAGCTTTAATTTAATATAAAAAACATATACGTCATGAGCAGCGTATTTTATTTAAAAAATAAATAAACGAAATAAAATATTTGTCAAAAACTAATTACTAATTGAATTAAACATATTTGCGGCCACTTTTTGACTGACAACCTATAGGCCTACAGAAAAAAAAATATTTTGGTGCCGTGAATTTGAAGCTGATTTTTACTACATATATTTAATATTTGAGATAATGAAGAATATGCTATTTTCAAAGGAATATACATTGATTATTAAACTTCTTCCTCAGTGTATCTGTTGTTCTCACTGTATTATGCCTTATTTATGCAAGAAATAATACTCTAATATCGTTACATTACTATTTTATAAGGAAATAAAACAGCTTTTAAAGTATTTTTAAACTTTAAAATGATATATTTACCACTTTGTAAACCCATTCAGCCTTCGCCTAATAAAATACTAGGTGCGTAAAAATCACTATTAGTGCTACTATCTGTCGATGACTAAGCCCAGTTAGTACAATTATTTCAATAAGTGTCCGCTAGATATCATACTCATTCATGTTTATTGCTGTGTTAATATCATTGCCTTTATTAGAGTATATTCACATTCACACAGTAGTCAGTCATAGATAAGAGGGTTAGGTTAGGTTAGGTAGTCAGTTCTGTTTGGATATTCATAACAAATGTATATAACTTCCAATTTTTGGAGGAGTTGTTCAAAGTGGTGTATCAAATCTTTTCCTATTTTATATTGGTTTGACGTTCAAAAATGAGTAGTGCAAGTCGTAGAAGTTATGTTAATCATCCTGATGTGTTTGGTTACGTGAAAAAAAAAGTGAAAACTATGCTGAACTGGTAATTCGTTTGCTGAATAACTTCCAATCACTTGGATGTAATATGAGCATCAAAGTCCACTACCTTCACAGCCACCTGAACCGTTTCCCTGAAAACTTAGTGAGGAGCGAGGTGAGAGATTTCACCAAGACATAAAAACCATGGAGGACCGCTACCAAGGAAGATGGGACACCCATATGATGGCAGATTTTTGCTGGAGTTTGAAGAGAGACTGTTTACAGATTCATTCCAGGAAATCACACAAGCAAAGCTTTTGTTACGTCAAGTAAAGTTTTTTTTCTATTTTGTTAGTTTTTTTCTTAAAACAAATTGTATATCTGTTTCATTATACAAAGATTTTTATTGTAGTTAAATGGCTTAATATATACGTATTTTATAATTGTGTGATTTTTATTTCAATTTAGTATATCCATATCAGCATATTCGTATTTTAATGCATAAAAGATGGCATGACCTACGTTATCTTGAAAACTACAGCTGCAAAACTAAAGCCATATTCGGAATAAGCACCCCAAAATACCTAAAATCAGCTCAAAACACATTGGCACCAAAAACACTGTAGGCCTGTGATTATTTTTCTGCATAAGTATACCGTGTATTCCGTATTTAGTCCTTCGACTTTGATTATTGTTTGTGTTGGCGCCGCTCTCTTGGGTGAGAAGTATTTCAGGATGATTCTTATTTTACAAAATACTAAGCTATGGTCGCTACCTACATCTGCTGAATTGAGGTATCTTTCGTCGATTATTTTCGATGGATGTATCCTGAAGAATAGAGCAATATTCATCCTTTTGGTGGTGAGGAAGTTTCTGAGTAACCAAAGACTCACTCTGCAAATCCGATGTCGGATGTTAAAATTTTATATCCACTTTATTCTTCTTTATGGTGTCGAAGTCTGGACTGCTAATGTTGACTTAATGAGAAAACTGGAAGCTTTTGAGACGTGGCTTTTTAGGAGAATTTTGAAGATACCATGGACCGATTATATTACGAACGAAATGGTGTTGCACAGAATGGGAAGATACAGATAAAGGCGAAAGACAGCATATTTGGGGCACATACTTAGAAATGATAAGTACGAGTTTTTGCAGCTGATTATGAAGGGTAAAATCGAAGGAAAGAGGGGTCCAGGTAGACGACAAATATCCTGGCTGAAAAACATTCGCAACTGGACTGCGTTAAACACACAGACGCTGTTAAGAAAAGCAGAAGATAGAGACGAATTTGCAATGGTTATAGCCAATCTTAATTAGTGGAGACGGCACTAGAAGAATAAGAATTATATATCTGTTGGTTACAACATAATCTATCATAGATCTTTGTCCACGGGTGTTAATAAATATATATTTGTGTTGGGCTTTGTGGTCAAAAATATGTTGTTTATTCTATTCTATCTGATTCTGAAAGACTATTTCATCAGCTTTCGAGATCTGAAATAATTTTTAATCTGAAACGGATTCGGCTCTGAGCGCTAAAATTCTGGATTAATTAGCCTTATTGCTCGCCAGTGTATATCAGTAATACCTAAATAAAACAAAAGTATTAATTCTAATTGACTTATTTTTCTTGATTAGATTGGAAAAAAAAGATTGTAAGTCGCTGGCGATGATCGATGCAAGATTGCTAGCACTCCAATAATTTTCGTAATATTTAAGACGGGAATAGGTAGGTATATTGTACCGATAATTTTTTCCATGCCCGCGATCGACCGACCTAGGGGCCGCGATCGACTGGTCCGTCCTCCGTTCCCTGAAAACTTAGGTGACACAAGTGAAGAGCAAGGTGAGAGATTTCACCAATACATAAAAACCATGGAGGACCGCTACCAAGGAAGGTGGGACACCTATATGATGGTAGATTCTTGCTGGAGTTTAAAGAGAGACTGCTTAAAACTTCATTCCAGGAAATCACGCAAGCAAAGCTTTCGTTACGTCAAGTAAAGTTTTTTTTCTATTTTGTTAGTTTTTTTTTTCGTCGGTCAGATAGCTCAGCGGGCTGTGCGGCTGCCTCTCATTCGCTTCACTGTCGAATGGTTTAGTGGATGTGGGTCGAGCCCCAGCTCGGTGTACAGAAAACAAAAAGTCTAACGCAGCAGTTTAAAATTCTAGATGAATCTGCGGCTTAGACTAGGATATGCTGGGTTCTGATCGGCCTATGGTGGAGCAGTACGGCAAGAGATAAGGGCTTGCGGCTCGGTGATACTTCTCCATAGATCCCTACCGGACGGGCGTAACGCCTAAAAAACCGGATATATATATATATATATATATATATATATATATATATATATATATATATATATATATATATATATATATATATATATAGTTTTTTTTTCAAAACTAATTGTATATTTGTTTAATTATACAAAGGGTTGTATTGTAGTTAAATGTGTTCTAATTGTGTGATTTTTATTTTAATTTACTCTATCCATATCAGCATGTTCGTATTTTAATGCAAAACAGCTGGCATGACCTACATTATCTTGAAAACTACAGCTGATAGGGCAAAACTAAAGCGATATTCGGAATCAGCACTCCAAAATACCTAAAATCAGCTCTGAACACTTTGGCACCAAAAACACTGTAGACCTGTGATCAATGTATGCTCCTACTTTTAAATATATTTAAAAATATGAGTTTGAGAACTACGTTATGAACGTGATAATCCCGCAGTGGGATCTTGGACTATCCAAATTACGAAATTTGTAATGCAGTAGACAGTATAGAGCACCTCCTGATAGACTGACCTAAATATTTACCTATGTAATTCAAAGACATTCTTACAATTTTTCAAATAACCTTTATTCCTTTATATATAATGTAACCTTTATATTTTATTATAATAAAATTTTGTTGCGGATAATTTATTAGGATACTTAAAATGTAAAAACATGTTATAGGTTATTCCACGAATATACGACTGTTTTGGATTATTACGATAACGAATATTTTACTGTGCAAGTAGAAGTATGAAAGTAAATTGGTCTAAACAGTATTCCAATAAAATGGATTTATTGTTAGTTTGACACACTAAAATTATTTCAGTTAATATATGTTTAGATAGACGCAAAATTTATTGTGAAATTTAATCCGAAAATAACAAAAATTTTTACGCAAACGGCCCTACAAATAAATACAATGAGTTCTATGAAGCCAAAATGTGTTCATAAGACATTTGGGTT